TCCTTTTTTAAAGTTTGTTTTTATTGAATTTTTGTGTATTTCATTCAGAACATATCAATCAATCTTAATCATCTTTATACCCGTCCCCACCCATGTCCTCCCATAGCTCCCTCCACACCACTGGAACACATACACTCTGTCATCAGTGTTAAGGCCCAATGTGTCAAGTCAGTGTCCCCAGATGTTCCCCAGTGCAAGTCTATCTGCTGAGGCTTAGCAGCCTATCTAGAGTCCCTTGTTTTAGGAAGATAAGCTCTTCTTCACCTAGCAGTAATCAGTTGCCAATATTTCTTCAGCTAAGATTGGGGTCTGCAGCATACACCAGCCCCATGCAAACTCAAGCAGTATTCCTTTACTATAAGCGCTATTAACAAGGTGTGGCTCAGGGTACTGCTGGGACACAGAGGACAGTGAGTATTTTGCTTCTTGGATTGGGGTGGGGCTAGGAAGAGTTATAAATGCAGTTGTGTGTGCATGGTGCTTGGGAAGGATAGCGGAGAGGAATGGTGTTCTCCATGGCAGGGAAAAAGCAGGAACCTGAAATAATTTATAAGCTGAGACCCAGTGAATAGGGTAGAAAATGTTAAGAAAAATGGAGGAGAATTAGAAAGAATGTTCCTAGACTAAGGCATCATGTATGAAGAGCCATGGAAAATGAGAATACTTATCCTACTTAATATATCGACAAGTGCTTCTCAAACATGCCAGTCACCTGACTTTAGTATCAAAATGATTCAGCACTTTTAAGGAGGGACCTGAACGCCCAGGTTTATAACAAAGTGATCAATATAACTGGTGCTGGTCCCTGGACCAGATTCTGTGTAACAATATACAAGTCAATTCCTAGCAGAGGAACAGTTCTTTCTGGGGAAATCACGCTCTGGACTTGGCCTCACCCTTGTTGTTGACCTACTTACTCGGTGTGAAGAACTGGTGAAGGCCGTGCAGGGGCGTCTGAGCAGCTCGTTTGCTCACAAGGGACATTTTTCTGAAAGAAGACTGCTTGACAGAGGACTAGGTTAAATCACTACTTCAAACCATGCGTTTATAAATTCTTTCTTACTTTATGTAGTTTCTCACTGAAATACATTTCAGAGTTATAGCAGGAAACGGGTCTGAAAGGATGTACTTAATAAATGTTGTCAGCACTTGTCAAAATAAAAAAAAAAAATGTCCCAGGGAAAAATTTATAGCCTTACGCATTAGAAGCAGGTTGTGGAGCTGTAATCTGTATCTTGACAGCAATTCTTTTAGCGCATTTTAATAAATGTGTGAGTTTCACATCACCACTATCTCTTCTCCATCCTGAAACAGCAGGAGTTCTACCTCCCTGGAGGCTAAGTAGAGCATCTTTGTAAATCTCTAAGTTTTGGGACTGGAGAGACAGCTCAGCAGTAAGAGCATTGGCTGCTTTTGCAGAGGACCCAGGTTTGTTTCCCAGCCCCCACATGGCAGCTAACAGCGATCTATCACTCCAGTTCCAGGGAATCAACCAAACTCTTCTGACCTCCATGGGCACTGCACAACACAGGTGCACTTATATACACACAGGCAATACACTCACACACAAAAAAATAAAAATAATAAATAAAATATTCTGAAAACTTCAAACTTTGCACTCTATCCCAAAATCCATGAACGGGGTGGAGCCAATTATAAAGATCCTTACTGACAATTACCACTCATATTTCATGATATTAAAAGGCAGACCTCCTTAAATTTTTGTTGACTATCAGACGTTCGTTATTCAAGTCCTACCTAAGGTGCTTGAGGAGATGAGAAATTTCATCTGTATTTCCAAGGCTGGTGCAGGGGTGTTGTGTAATACTTGTCATTAAGTAATACACTGACTTTATACCTACTGTGTCACTCTACCTTCTCATTTAATTACAAGAAAACAAGCATACATGTATGCACGTAGTTAAAGTGCTGTGTAGTTTTAATTACAAGTGGAGTGAGTCCTGCAGGAAAGTAACACAACTCCTCAAATTCCTTCATGAAACTTAACATCCAACTAGAGTCTCATAGTAATTAAAGGAGACAGACCAAGAAATCTGTGGGCAGAGATTTTCAGTTCTTGTTTCTAATGGGTGAGTTAAGTATTTCTTAAATTTGGAGAGGTCAGTGACACCAGGCTTTCTTTCTAAAGACAGGCAATATATGCTTGATGGGCAGCTACATGATTTTCTGGGCTGATACTGTCCTTTTCTTCATTTTCATATTACTTGTTTCTTGTTTACTGACTCTAGACCCAGCCAACTGTTCCCAAATATTCAATTTCCCTCTAGGGCAGAGTTTTGTTGTTTGTTTGTGTGTTTGTTTGTTTTTGGTCTTTGGGACAGGGTCTCCCTATAGCCACAGCTGGCCTGAAACTCACTATGTAGACCAGGCTGGCTTTGATCTCACAGAAATCTGCCTGGCTTTGCCTCCTCAGTGCTGGGATTAAAGACATGTGCCACCACGCCTGGCTAGGGCAGTTAATTTTGACATGCTGTTTCTACTGTTTTATATAAGGAATAAACAGCTTAGGGTCTTTCTCAACTTTTTAGCCCTCTTACTGAATTTGGGGTCATTAACCTTATGAAAGGTATGGAATATAGCTAACCTAAGTTGTAGATGGTCTGAAGGGGAGTGGCCCACTAGCTTATCAGAGCTATCTGGGAGTACAACACAGGGTAGGGAGCTATCTTCCTGAAATCCGGCCCATAGAGCTTGGCAGACTCCTAGAAGGAATAAGATAATTTTTTCTTTCAATCACAGGCTAAGTATTATGGACAGAAGTTACATTAGGCTATTGTCTTGTCTGTCTTGTGTCAACAATTTGGAACCTATTATTAATCTGTAATTTCTTTCTTGCCTATTTTATTACTCCATGTCTCCCTTGTTTCTTCTTCTCCTATGCCTTCTTTCCCTCTTTCCCTATTTAAGCAAGGACAGTATGGTGTTGTCCTTTCCTTTATACTGAATTCACTACAGTCCTCAAGGTCTCAATTACTCAAAAAGCAATATTCGAAATTTTTGAGCACTGTAGTCTTTGGGAGATGCTGTTGTTTGTTATACAGCACCATCAGTAGCCATTTCTAAAATGCCGTTTACTTTAGTTAATGGAAATATCAACAGACTCTTCTCATGCACAGATAGTATAAAGCCAATCTATTATCTGAAACAAAGATAAGAGCAAGATGCTTGTTAGAAACACATCATTTATTGAGTTGATTTATTTGCTGCTGTTTTAAGAGGAAGACAGCTACATATCAGCTTGAAAATTTCATATGAATATATTAGGTCATCTTCCAAAAAGTACTCTTTAATAACTATACCTGTTCCACGTGATAACCAACATAAAGCAAAATATGAGAAACAGTATTATCAATATGTCTTTAAATTCCAAATTGTCGTTTTTCAGAAGAAAAAATATAGACACACTTAAAGTTTCACAGAACTTTTTATCATTTAAAGGAGGATAAATTTTAAATTGTTAATTATATAATGAAAGCAGTTTGGTAATAACTTCAGTTTTTTCATCTCTAAAAATGGAGAAATAATTACAATTTTTAAACATATGTATGCAATTCTGTACCTAGAAAAGCTCAGCACATTTTACAGAGATGTAGAGTGGGGGTATGCATATCAAATTCCTAAACAAAGCAACCACACAGAGGTAAGGCGATAGCTTGCCACTGCTGAAGCCCATGTCCTTTCTGATGCCATGCTACATTCCTGGTTAAAATGATGTTTTATCCTCATTTTGAAACTAGGATGAGCATTTATGATGTGTTGGTATCAGCATAGTTGAATTAATGTGACAAGTGAGAAGGCATTATCTGGTTTTTAAAAACAGCTCCTTTCAGAAAAGTTGTGAATACTGCTAGAAATCAGATAGATGTGACTGTGCCTGTGTAAGCACTGTGGATGGCAAATGTGACTGTGTCCGTGTAAGCACTGTGGATGGCAAATGTGACTGTCTTTACGTAAGCACTGTGGATGGCAAATGTGACTGTGTCCTATCTGGTTTTTAAAAACAGCTCCTTTCAGAAAAGTTGTGAATACTGCTAGAAATCAGATAGATGTGACTGTGCCTGTGTAAGCACTGTGGATGGCAAATGTGACTGTGTCCGTGTAAGCACTGTGGATGGCAAATGTGACTGTGCCTGTGTAAGCACTGTGGATGGCAAATGTGACTGTGTCCGTGTAAGCACTGTGGATGGCACCGGACTGCAGCTTCACAATAGGACAGCCCCTCCTGTGCCCAGCTCCAGGGCTGCGCCAAACAAGGAAAGGGCAGTTTCAGCAGGAGGGCTGGCAGTGTTGGATGCAGGAGGAAAAGATGTGTTTTGATGACTTGTCTTGCTTCATCCTCTACGCACTTTTAAATAGGTGACTCATTGGACTCTGTTCTTTCTTTCATGTTGGGGGCACACACAGAAACTTGGAGTCACCACTGATGCATGAAGTTTCAGAATCGCAGCAGGGCATCGGCAGCTCAGGAGGCCGCCTGGGGGGCGCCATCACAGCCTGTAAAAAGGTAACTTTGCCTGATACCACTGATGCCCACCAGTTGACCTTGTACGCTACCTGAGCTTGACCTTTCAAGTATGCTTCCTTAAGTAGGGAAACATCCTAAGTATGCCTTGATGTTGATTAAAAAAAAAATGCAGTTCATGGAAAGGATTTCTGAGTCCTAATTTGAAAATGTTAACTTTGTTGCTAGAGAACTCAGTCCAACTCACTACAAACGTACTCATGGAAGAGAGCCCCTTGCATGTGGACAGTCTGCACAGGTCTTCAGTGACTTGATCTTGTGTGTTGCATTCAGTCCATATTGGAGCAAACTTTATAGCTACTCTTCTTTGCATATGATTCTAAAGGGGAGAGCATGTACAGCTGCAGTTCCTAAAGCACAGG